TTTATCAATTTTGTAATAAGCTAAATGTATCAACACGAATGAGATTATGTTCAGTGACAGAGCAAAATTTCCTCTATGACAGTAAATCCACAAGAAAGCGTATTCGGTTCTCACTAGGTGCCTCAATACTATAGTTTTTGCTCGACGATTAAATAACTTTAATGAACCCGCTTTGATGAAACGATTGGCGATTTAATCTATAATTATTAATGGTTATTAACAAGGGCAACACAATGGGAGTACTGATTTCGAGTTCTGTCAGATTTTGTTCATTTTAGCCGTGATAAAGGCACAAATTTACTTCTATCTCACCCCTTTATATCATGACGAAAAGATTTCAGACATGCAATGGTGGTTGACAGGGGAGGTCACTAGTTGCCAAACCGAGAGAAGCAAAGTAATATTAAATCCATTGTCAACGCTGAAAGATACGAAAAGAGATAGATATAGAAATAAGCTGAGAATGATACATGTCGAAGGAAAATTATTAGAAGCTCTCATTAGAAGTGATGGCTGAGTCCGGCGTCTGCTATATTGTATTAAAGATCGTGTCCAATCACATTTCGTCTTTCCAAGATGGGAGAGCGAACGACTTCACTTCCACTTAGGGAATACAATTTTAGCGGAGGTTGGATTCGCGTTGCTTTGGTAACGGCAGCGCCACCGTCGCCCGATGATTCTTAATTCTAAAATGTCAGACAGTCCAAGATTTGCAGGAAATAGATGCTTTCTTTCACGTTGCTAACTGATGACAGACTTTATTAGCTTTGCACTTAACACAGCTCTGCTCACTGGAAGAAAACAGCTGTGACGTGACAGAAAAACTGTCATCTTTCCAGTATTTAACGTATTTTTATATATATATATATATATATATATATATATATATATATATATATATATATATATATATAAGGTGTATATATAGATACAGTGTGGATATAAGAATCCATCCACACAGTATAGAGACTATCAGTTTCACAGTTTCACACCTTGTATCTACAGACTATGAGTTACTACTACTTCCGTTGCATTCAGGGACCTTCTGTTATATATATATATATATATATAGGCAGCAATCCTTCTTTCATGCACACTTCATTGAATACAACAGACAAACTGCTTTGATTTATTTTTTTTATACAATTTCTCATGCGATCTAATAATTTTTTTTCTTTTCGGATGATAAATTATATAAAAACTTTCCGAATGTTCTTTTTATCCGATTGCTTTCGGCTATACATTTAGCCATTTTCAAGGATTAAATATGTTAACTGTTAAATAAGAAATAGTTTGTTTTATGTATGTTATATAAAATGTTTTCATTTTTCAAAACACGGTCAATATATTGTGTCCATGTTCAAAGTTAATATTATTAAGTTTGTTTTTTTTTATTTTTATTAATAAGGCTTCCATTATTTTTAACCTTTTTTGCATGTAGATGAGGCTATTATATTTGTGTTGTCAACAAGTATGTTACGAATAATGACCGGTAGGTTTCCATGAATATTTAAATGAAATCTAATTGACCTATGGTGAGAAAGTTGTAGAGTAGGTCTTCGTGTCAAACATGTTGTAGTGTGGCCTATATAATTATTTACGAATTTGGATTGATCAGGAAAACAATTCCTTAATGGGCATTTAAATTTGTAAATAATATTTACCCTATTTAATTTTTTTATAAGAGGTGAATTATTATTTTTAACTATAATGTTAGAGGTTTTAATTTTGGTTTTATATATATATATATATATATATATATATATATATATATATATATATATATAAAAGAAATATGTTGTAGTGGTTCCAACGAGAGAAAAGTATGTATATTAAAAAGAAGAGAGGTGCTGCAAACGTTTTTGGTTGTAATGTGGATTTATTTAGAAAAAATATTATGCTTTGTTTTACATAATTTTACGACACGTGTTTCTGGTCTAGCGACCGTCTTCAGGTAAAAGTGGAGATTTCTACATATTAAAAATAATTAATTTTTCTTCATGTTCAATGTGAAATATTCTCGATATGAGACATTCTCTGTTTGTGTGTTGGTAATCCGAATTTTCTTTTAAAAGGACCACTTACACATCACATAGCATCACTTAGCAACGAATATTATGTATATAATAAAATCCTTTCAAAACATATGGAAAACTGAAAAGCTCCAGAAATAAAATGAAAAATAAAAAAGAACAATATTAGCATACAGCAACAGATTAATATGTTTGGCTTATTAGAAATTTTAATGCAAAATAAATAGAATATAATACTACTTCAACCAACCCCAAACATATTAATCATTTATATCGAAACCAAATACATCCAAATTATAAACAAGCTGAATATATCCTAAAAAATTCACAAATATTAACATTTCCACCACAGACCCTAATAAAAAAAATAAAATTAATTATATACTACACTAAATCTAGTATATCTAATTCAATCATTCTTAATGATTCTCCCCCACCAACTAACGTGTTGCAGAAAAACAACATAGTTTATAAATTTACATGTCCTCTGAGAGATTGAATCTCCAAAAGAAAAAAAAAGTATGTTGGCCACATTACGACTACGCTGTCTCGGCGGCTGAGTTTTTATTTGAATGATGGTTCCAACATTTCTAAACATTTACAACAGCATACCTGTCCACATTAGCAATTTGTTGAAAATACAACTATACTTTTTCATGAAAATAATAAACATAAACTAAAAATTCTCGAAGCTATCTATATTAAAAAAATGAAACCAAACCGAAATAAAATTAATTATGAATACACTAGCTTAAAATATCGATGTACAAATAGTTTTAATATATATTTCTTAAAACTTTCGACAACACCATACTTAGTTACTTCTCCTGAAGCGTTACTCAAGCCATCACAGTACTCACTCAGCGATCTTCACTTCATAAGTAAAAACAATTTAACTTTCAGATGAACACAATAAATTTGTCTTTGAAAATTATGAACACTACAGTATCTGTTTCAAAAGAAACAACATCCTGATGATGATATTGTCCTATGTCGAAAGTACTCGGAATAAAAAATATGTATCAACACGGCGATTTCCTCTCTTTTTTTAAAAAAATAATGACACCAAAAAGATTGCCTGTGAATATGAAAGGATCCAATTGAAAATAAGTAGGAAAAACTTGTCTAAATTATTCAATGAACCATGTATCAATGAAAGCATTCTGCCAAATATATATATATATATATATATATATATATATATATATATATATATATATATATATCTGAATGTAATTAGAACGAAAATAATATATAAATTCTAATGTTCGCAGAATTAATTCAACAGAAGCCTCAAAACCGATAGTAGAGCATTAATTATTTATTATAATTTTTTTCAAAAAAAAATTTACTCACGACAAAGATGTAACTTTGTTTGTGTCTATATGAAAAATTATATATATATAAATATATATATAGATAAGAGAGAGAGAGAGATGAGATGGATTGATAGACAGATGTGCATGTGGTTGTTTGCGTGAACAAGTTGAAGTGTTGAAGTATTGTTTACAGGATTCATTTTACACTGAATTTTACCGATCCTTCCGGTTGTAGAGTCAGCCCCTAAAAACGCTCATTACTAAATTCCTCAGCTGAAATACATTTTGAAATAGTTGTCCTATTTTCGCCAACACACCAGCAGATTTTTCATGAATCTATAACAAATTAAAAAAAAAAACATTTTTATTTTCTTTATTCATCATACATTTTGAAATATCTCCGTGAAAAAAATTGATTTTTTTAAACAAAAATTTGCTAAATGAGTTCAACAAAGTAAACAAAATGTGTCTGCAATCGACTGTACCCAATAAAATAGCCTGATTGTTGCTTTATCTTATTTGAATTCTAGTTGCATAGATTTTTGCGGAATTAAAATTCAATATTGTTATTGAAATATATTTTTATTTGTTTAAGCGGCAATTTTGTGACGCATATACAAAACATCTGTTTACTATATATTTTAGATGCGTTTTCATCTTTGTCATTAGTCTCTAGTTTACAAACAAATAGTTGCTCAGTGCTCCCTGTCTGTCTGTTTCTCTCTCTCTCTCTCTCTCTCTCTCTCTCTCTCTCCCTCTCTCTCTCACATACACACGCACACACATATATATTAAAGAAAAACAAAAACAAGATCGCGTGTGCGAGAAAATCGTGTCACGGCTAGAGCCTTTCTTTCATAGGAATCAACGTATATAACGTGTTTTCATTCAAAATACATATCGCAATATATATATATATATATATATATATATATATATATATATATATATATATTCAATGAAGACTGTGCTTGATATGACCATACATTGTTGATGTGATGTAATTTTTCTTTCCGTATCGACTCCGGCCATTTCCACGTTGCTGCGTCATTACCGATCCGAAGAGAGGGATGTTGACAAAGGGATGCTGATCTTGAAGATGGAAAACACATCTAGTTGGTCCGGTCTAATCCGGTCCGGTCACATGTAAGAGTAGTTAGTTGTGCTGGCTACTTGGTCCGGTCTGGTCCGGTCCTGTCCGATCCCGTCACATGCAAGTGTAGTCAGATGTGCTGGCTACTTGGTTCGGTCTAATCCGGTCCTGTCCAGTCCGGTCACATGCAAGGGTAGTCAGATGTGCTGGCTACTTGGTCCGGTCTGGTCCGGTCCTGTCCGATCCCGTCACATGCAAGGGTAGTCAGATGTGCTGGCTACTTGGTCCGGTCTGGTCCGGTCCTGTCCTGTCCGATCCCGTCACGTGCAAGAGTACTCAGATGTGCTGGCTACTTTTCATACAAGCAATCTGAGTGGTAAAAATAATTTATTACATTATGATTACAAACCATATAAGAACGGAAAATATAAATATGCCGAACTTGAAATGAGTGATTGAGAGGATAAGGTTGTTGGACGGTGGCACTCACGTCTAATTAGTTCAAAGCTGTCGAGTGATGACATCGGAAATAGGTTCCAAAGAATCTCGTAAGGGATGAATGGTTTCAGGCCTTTGACATATTTGTGTCCGTTACCGTTATTTTTCCCTACTGCAAGGCGGACTCGATGTTTCGTAGCAGTCTCTGGTACATACACCTGCCCTAGCAGCGACTTCGGCAATTCTTTTTCTCACCCCGGCCCTTCGTCCGGTATCGCTTTTATGGAGGAGGAAGCCTTTTTCAGGCTTCTTTGATTGGAACGTAGAAAAAAAAAGATTAAGTTATTGCTGTCCAATTAAATGGCTCTCTTGTAAATTGCCAGCAGAAAATTCCAATATCATAATTACTAATTAAATATCAGCAGTAACAGCGTGATTGTCTGTAATCTCTAAATAAAACCCGCGAAACCATTTTGAAAACGTCTCGCTAAACTTTCAGCCAGGATGATTTCTCGTAACACCTGTCACCTGAACTGCCTTTCAACCGTTTTGACTTTTTCCACTGATAGTTTAGCTTAAGTTTGTATATAGTGACTATTCACTTCTAAAGTCACACATTCCCATTTTACACTACATTCAAATATGATATAATCCTTAAAATCCACTGTAGAAATAGCCGGATCTATAATTATGTTTACAGTATAAAGATATGCAACACGCTAAATTTTTTCTGAAATTAATCTAAAGTGCAAAATTTTTGATATACAAGTTTCTCAGGTTGATATTTTAACTTGTCATTCGAAAACCCTGTAGCCTCCACTGAGCAGCAAAGGGCCACAGTTTCTGGTGTGATTTCCATAGCAAGTAAAAGGTTTTACGGGAAGAAGTTGCCAGCCACATGCCCAACTGATCTTTACCAAGTTTTTCGCTTACAATATCCGATATTCCCAGCAGTCCACTATCTAAGTACCGGCCAGGTTTTACACTGCTTAATACTAGCAATTAAGCAGGGACAGATGTTTCAACGATTTTTGATTTGACCCCAGATTTAGCAAGCTCCTATTACAGAAAATTCGTGTTTGCAGTGAGGCCAAACATCACAAAAAACTTAGGTAGAAAAAATTTGATTTTCAAATGATTATATATATATATATATATATATATATATATATATATATATATATATATATATATATATTATTAGGAAAAGTAGATTGCGTCTAGCAAAAACAGCCTGTTGCCTCTGAGTGTTGACTTCAATGTTCACTTTTACATATATATATATATATATATATATATATATATATATATATATATATATATATATATATATATATATATTTAGTTGATAGATGTGAGTTTGTAACCCTGGGTTTCACGCTTTAGCGATCGTCACAAACTCACATCAATCCAACCAAATATGTTAACTCTATCTATGATATTGAGCGCTTTCTAATAAGTACCACGCATATAATATATAAATAATTACACATACTTATATTTATTTATATTTATATACACTTTTCCCATATATATATATATATATATATATATATATATATATATATATATATATATATATATATATTGTTTGTTTGTTTGTTTTTGTTTTACGGCATATCAACCCCAATGGGTTATTTTATGCCGACAAGATTTTTATTGCTGCTAATATTTTTCTTTTAAAAATGTATTACTGGTATTTTTTATTTCATAAATGTATTGCTTGTAATAATGTATTGTTGATAAAAACTCTTTCTTCAAAAAATTATTGCTGGTAATAATTTTTTTTTGGCTAGAAAATTAATTAATAACAGAAAAGACACAAAGCATTTATACTTAATAGTTGAACATTTTGGCTTCGTAAAACATACATGAAAAAAACTAGGTATAGTTATATAAATTAATGGCAGTTTTTTTTCCAAGAAATTCAGAGGAATATATTATAGAATAATCCCATATTGAGGATCAAATAGAATTTCATCGATAAAAAAATTAGAATTGATATTGATTGGCTCCAGTGCCAATCCTTTCACACATTGATTTCACAAATTTAAAACAATATTCTTTATCACAATGGTTCCAAATTTTAAAAATGGCAGTTAATATTTCTTCTTTGGTAGATGGACCCTTTTCATCAACTAATATTTTTTAAAAATGTCACCATGAATTTTTAATTGGATTTCCATCCGGTATGTTCTCTGGATATGTCATTGATTTCACACGCCCTCCCCGAAGACAAACTTCAATCTCTTTTGCTCTAAGACTAGATTCTTTAGCGTTCCTGAAAAATGACCCAATATAAAGGAGACATCAAAGACTTGAATGAATACAAGTACGTTGATGGTTGAACTTATGATCGTCATCTCCGCTTGTCATTTAAATGACATGCAACCCAATATCATGAATTATGGGGAAAATTACTATTAGTCATCGATTTTACAATTTTGAAGTGATATTTTTCTCAAAGTCGTTCTAAATTTTCTAAATGGTGGTTAACAAATCTTTGGTAGTTGGAGCCTTCTCATGATCCATTCTTTTTAATTTCACCATAAATTTTCAATTGGATTTATATCCAGGTCTCTTTTCTGGCCATGTCATTGGTATTAAATACCTTTCCTGAAAGAAAGTTTTAATTTCCTTTGCTTTGTAATGTATTACAGTCCTGTAAAATGACTTCATCAAAAAGGAAACACATTTTTATAGATGGATTGAGACAATTATTCAACAGTTCAATGTACACAAGTACATTGATGGTTAAGGTAATGACTTCAAAACAATACTTATTTAATAATTGAACATAAAATATACTTTAAACAGCCTAGATTAAATTATTTAAATTAATGGTATAAATTCTACCAAGTCATGCAAAGGGAAATACGGAATAACCCAATATTGATGAAAAAATATTGGAAGTCGATGACAAAAAATTTTGAATTAATACTTAATTGCCCCTCCTTAAGATTTTATGGCAACCTTAATACTTTCAGGTATAAATTTCACTAATTTAAAGCGATATATTTTCTCAGAGTTGCTCCAACTTTTCCAGATGGCAGTCGACAGATCTTTGATAGATGGAGCTTTTTCATGAACCATTTTTTAAAAAGTTTCCACCATAAATTTTTCATTGAATTTCAATTCAGTGTGTTCACTTGCCTTGTCATTGATTTTATATGTTTTTTTTTCCTGAAGAAAACTTTAATCTCCTTTGTTCCATGACAAGATGCATTACCGTCCTGAAAAATGACTTCATCACTGAAACAAATTATGGATGGAATTCAATGTACACAAGTAAATTGATGGTTGATGTAATGACTGCAATATCCCCTTGGTTATTTAAATGACATCCAACCTCATTATCATGAATGACTAGAGAAATTTGTTTTCATCAGGCAGTTATTTTTGTTTTATTTGAATGCTACCAGACAAAAGCTCCAGCATCAATGCCTTGACCAATGCAGATTCTTGATTCATCATTGAATATCACTCTCAGCCAACCTGCCATGATTGTTTCTTTTAAATCAATTTTATCTTCATTTTCTTCTACTTGTCTATTAGTGCTGGTCTTCATTTCACTTTTCTGCATTTCTTCATTTAACAGATTTCTTACAGTCCACTCACAAATATGGACATTTTTTTCAGACCCATTTTCTGGATTTTCTCTTCTGACACTTTGATGTCTGTCATCGTCTACTAGTATATTGTCCTTTATTATTTCTATAATACATCTTCTCTCCGACACACGGTCGCTAGGGTCTTAATCTCTGACCGTCGCTTCTGGGTGGTTGATTGTCGATTCAGCAATCTTATATCGGTCTTTCTCAGCCTAAGTCGTGTTGTTTGATCCTAGAAAATCTGCCGGATCACTAGAAGAAGATGAAATCGATCTTACTACTCGGATTAAAGCAACTTCTGCTAAGGAATAAGTCAACGATCTTCTTATAAACAATAGCAAGTTTAATTTGATGTCAGCATTGCTGGTGTTGCGAGTGTAACCCTAGCTACCATAATATGGAATCCCTTGGTTAAATAAGTCTTCCGTACTTTTTTCTGGACAAATAATTCGTGCAGGGAACCATTATATTTCTGTATATCTGGCCAAAGGGCTTGCGTTCCGTGACTATTTCTAATGCCTGTGCACCTGGAAAAATAGAGGTTCCGCCCAAATCCTCCTCCAGCCAGACTGGTTAATTCCGATCACGTATTTCTTCAGGCGTGGTTTTCGACTGTTTAATAATGATGCTGCCCGGTAGGTGGTTCTGTTTCTACTTGGGACATCCCAATTTCGTCACACACTCAGTCTGCGGTTTCTAATTTCCTGCACACACGCATTTACCGAGTTTTTTTAGTGCTCCCAGCGATATCGTAGTTTTGACAATAATTTACAACTTTCGACCCTGCCACTCGGCTAGTCAAAATATCTATAGTTTCAAATATCGGCTATCGTCCCGAACTCACAGGTCGGGGGTCAATACATTTCCAGCGGCTATTGTCCCGAACTCACAGGCCGGGGTCAAATACCGGCTATTGTCCCAGCGGTCGGGGGTCAATACTCTTCCGGCTATCGTTCCGAACTCACAGGTCGGGGGTCAATACACTTCCACCGGCTATCGTTCCAACACACAGGTCGGGGGTCAATACTCTTCCACCGGCTATCGTTCCGAACTCACAGGTCGGAGGTCAATACACTTCCACCGGCTATCGTTCCAACACACAGGTCGGGGGTCAATACAATTCCACCGGCTATCGTTCCGAACTCACAGGTCGGGGGTCAATACACTTCCATCGGCTATCGTTCCGAACTCACAGGTCGGAGGTCAATACACTTCCACCGGCTATCGTTCCGAACTCACAGGTCGGGGGTCAATACACTTCCACCGGCTATCGTTCCGAACTCACAGATCGGGGCTATCGGCTATCGTTCCGAACTCACAGGTCGGGGGGGCTATCGTTCGAACTCACAGGTCGGGGGTCAATACTCTTCGGCTATCGTTCCGAACTCACAGGTCGGAGGTCAATACACTTCCACCGGCTATCGTTCCGAACTCACAGGTCGGGGGTCAATACACTTCCATCGGCTATCGTTCCAAACTCACAGGTCGGGGGTCAATACATTTCCACCGGGTATCGTCCCGAACTCACAGGTCGGGGGTCAATACATTTCCACCGGGTATCGTCCCGAACACACAGGGGTCGGGGTCAATACATTTCCACTAGCCCGTTGGGAATGACTGCTTTGTTTTAACACTTTCAGATGATTCCGTGCAGTTTTATAGTCTTTCAAAAGCTGTAATATTCTCAGGTACCATATATTTCCAGCAAATTTTAGACAGATCTGACTGAAAAACCAGCGTGTTTAACCAGACTCCACTTTGGATTGCCATCCTGAGTGAGTTTTATGATCTTTTCCATTGCCAGATCTTTTCTTCTTTTCCATTATGCACACCTACCCTCTTGTCGGGATCTGTAATAATTCCCTTTTAACTGTAGACCGATTTGCATGTCTTAGCTTCTGCTTGTATTCGTTTTAAGAATGAAAATAATTGGATTGGTGCATAATTTTCAGGCGTTTTTAAACAATATTTATGCACCAACCCAATAAATGATTATTCCATACTAATTTTCTCCTGTATGATATGAAAAAAATACCATTAATTTAAACAATTTGCCCTAGGTTGTTTAAGGTAAGTTTGATGAAGCCTGAATGTTCAGTTATTAAATAAAAAAATGTTTTGTGTCTTAACTGTTATTAGCTTCAGTCAGTTATGCGCCATGTGTGATACACGCGTAGGCGATCAAGTATCTTTCGATACATGACTGACGAGTCAGATTTTTCCAGCTGTAGGTTACCATTTCTTTCTGCGGTAGACCAGTTACCATCCAAGGATATGGAACCCGGCCTGTCCTGCTATTTACCCATAGCCGGGGGAGAAGAAGTAGATTCATACAATTCTCATGGGTATTAGCATATAATTGAATGTAATGGATTCGACAGGAATTCGAACTCGGCTCTCCAATTCCGCAATCTGAGTCACTATCCATCACTCCACCGTACTGCTAAATAAAAAGAGACCAAATAATAAATGTGCTAATTCCATAAATTCTACCATAAATTCTGTATTCATACCATTATACATATGTATTCATATGAGTTACGGTCCCGTCCCGTGAGCCATCCGAGTCGTAAGGGTACTACAGGTACTACAGGCATAACAAAAGTGGTGTGTCCTGGCGATACCTAGGCTGGTTTGAATTCAGAGATATCCTTCTCCTAGAGTGAGTTACCAACCAAGGCTATAGGACTTAGTCTGTCCTGCTATTTAACAATAGCTGGGGGAAGAAGTGATGGGTTCATAGTTTTCCCAATGTTGTAAATGAATGTAACGAACCCAACTGGAATTCGATCTCGGCTCTCTGATTTCACATTTCACCACCGCGCATTTATAGAAGAACTTATTTAAAAATTATTATTCATCGCTTCAGTGTCTCCGCTGTACTTTTAGTATAACAGGATTAGTACAAGGCCATGTCTTCTCAAATTGCATTAAGGAAAATAAGTAAATCTAGTCTCATGCCTTCTGGATGACTGAGTTAGTTGTACATTTCACTCAGGTATCAGTGAATGGTCTCTAAAACGGAATTAAAAAAAGCAGTATTTCCATTACTGATTTTGAAAGCAAGGTTTATTTGAGTATTGGCCCAAGTGAATATTCTCCTGCACTTTTGCAGTGTCCTATACAAATATTCCTCAATATATACACCTATGTGCAAATTAATTGAAACAACCGCTTTAGTTCCCTTTCTTTCAACATAAGGTCAGTTTTAGATTAACTGGAGTGATAGTGTATAATCGATTTCTAATTTTTTCTCAGGTCATTTGCAGTGGTGTGCAGTAATATGAATCTTTTTGGGGTGCATGGTGAAATTCGTTTGCCCTAGAAAAATATTGTGACATCCGTGATTGCATTAGATTTTATCACGCCTAAACACTATTGTCTCGATTGTCGATTAGTTGTCTTACGGGCATTGTCTGCGATGAACGTTACTCTAAAGAAGTATATGAAAATTGTAACGCTGCACAAACACACTGACAAGCCTTACCAGTGAGCAAATCAATGTACTATAGACTTGACCGGGAACTCTCATGATTTAAATCCAATCGAGAATCTGTGGTCAATCTGCAAGGAACGACTTCGTGGAATAGAGATACGAAGTACTAACATATGTACTGGGTTATATTTCATAAGAAAAATGAGAAAAAATGTAAATAATAATGGAATTTTTTTGTTTTGTTTCAATTAATTTGCACAAGGATGTATATTTCACTGCTGTGTCAGTCCAAAACAATTAAAAAAAAACAATGCTTCCATTACTGATTTTGAAGGCTGATGTTCTTTGAATATTAGCACAATTCAATATTTCTCCTGCTCTTTTGCATTGTCCTATACAAACATTCCTCAATATATAGTACTAGAAATAAGGTTATCACATTATCTCACTTCAGGAAGTATATGGCTCCTCCTGCGTCGCTTTATCTTTACAAGAGTTAGATTAGACCAAAATTGGGTGCTGTTGACATATTTATCTAGGACTGCTCACTCATCACTTCCCAACTTTGACAGAGTTCAAAACCTTTCACCCGGACGTTCTATCCAGAAATGTAACTGCTTTTAGAATAGTGTAAAATCATTTGGCTTTGTGAACGAGAGTTAGTTACTTCTATTTAATTTAGAATCTCGTCTGTGGTCGATAATAGTTGATCAAGTTTAATAGGTTGTTATTTCAGCGATAAATCTCGCTTTCGATGCAATCCCGTCCATTTCCAACTTCATTCGTTGCCAATACTCGATAAAATCTAAGTAGAGAGAATCAGAGAGGGTTAGAACGGGGTATTTAGGGTGGCAATAACATGCTCAGGCCGGTAATGATCGATCGTGATTCAGAAAAGCATTAAAACCTAATATCTATTGGACATCGATTCCGTTCAATTGGCTGCCAGGGGCAACGGTCCGAGCGAAATCCTTCAAAAGCGGATCTCCATGTCACTTCCCAATAAAACGTCGCCTTTTTACAACAGCCAATCGAAGTGTTAATCGAGAACTGACTTTGAAAAGCCTGCCCACCGAAGAAATCGAACTTTCTGCTTGGGTCGGAAACCTGATTGGACGATCTACAAAGGCTTTGATAAGTTGAGTCCCGCCTCTTGATTCTCTATTTGCTTTCAACGTCGTCCATAAGTTTTTCAAGTCAACTAATCTCCTGTGTTGCTGGGATGCGAGCAAGCCAGCGTGTCGAGCACCGCTAGCAAGTGGCCTATTGTATTTGATTTTGTCGCCTAAGGTTACGGTTTGTCCTCTTCGGGTTAGAGACTTCTCATCGAAGGAAGAGGCTAAATAAAAGATAGAAAGACGAACGACGAATTATGTTCCGTTGTGAAGAGTTGACAAGTTCATAAGAGCAGACGACTGCTAATTGTTTCTTCGTTGCGGAAAATATTACTGTTCCTCCGACAAGTAGAAGCGAATACGGTTATAAAAGACATACTCAGAAACGAAATATTATCGACAAACAAATAAAAATTAGTAACTATTTTTTGGTAATTCTCATAATCATTTACTAAGCATAGGTTAAATTGGACACACGACTACAATTCTGGACATTTAGAGAGGAACAAATTTACGACTTAGTGTTAACTGATCTGTGAGATCAGATTGTTAAACATTACACTAAGACGAGGGTATCACATCTAATCATAGAGGGTGCCCGGGTAGTAAACTGCAAGGACAAAGGTCGATCTGTTCTGTCTTGAATTTACTTAATTTCAAGGTGTAATCATATGTATAATAATATTCAAAATATAATATTTAAAAGATCTATTATGTTAATATTTTGGTTACCAGATAAAAAGCGACACAACAGCAGAATCAACACACACACACACACACACACACACATATATATATATATATATATATATATATATATATAAGTGGGCCTTCTGAAATTTACGGAGCATTTAAAAGTATATACATTCGTAATATTAATTTCTATGGAAACGAAGAAAACCAATCATTTTAATAAGGGGCGGTAGGGTTTACATTTTCACTGACAACTATTGTATAATATAGGCTCTACTTGTGTATTGAGCACTGTTTTTTTAAAAAATAAAACAAAAATACTTCGGATTATTAACCTAAAAGGTTCTTTCCTATTTTTATATTTTTTTACACACACACACACACACACACACACACACACACACACACACACACACACACACACACATATATATATATATATATATATATATATATATATATATATATGTATGTATGTATGTATGTATGTATATATATATATATATATATATCAAGGCAGGATTTAGTTGACAAATATGAAATCTAAAATAAGATTAGAAATTTGTGAACCGTCATAGAGAAATAGCACGAGACAAAAAAGGAAATTTTTAGTTTTTTTACAATCACCCAATATCTAACCCCATTGAACTACTTCACAACAGTTCACTGCCAATCAATTAAGAAAAAAAGCAAATCGAATGACAAGTGACTCCCTTTCCCTAAAAGCAAAGCAGTTACTCATTAAAAGATTAACAGAAAATTGAAACAATATATTAGCTCCTCAAATAAAAAGTCTCCTGAACTTCTTTTTCTCCTCTAAGCTATGAATCATGACTTTTACTAAAATGGAGGAAATTTTCCTTTTATAAAACACGTGTTCATATCTCGGAACAGTTTAAAGGTTAACTATGAAGACACATCTGCAAAAAATCAATTTATATACAATTTTATATAGACTAATTTTGTATTAGACATTAATAAATTGTGGTTTTATAACTGTCGGCAATTGCTTGTAGTTTACTATATTAATTATTACTAGTTACCAACGTGACTATATACCGCCGACACACACACATGTATGTATATATATATATATATATATATATATATATATATATATATATATATGTGTGTGTGTGTGTGTGTGTGTGTGTGTGTGTGTGTACACTACAGTTTAATAGTTTGAAGCGATCCCCACAATTAGCATCGGATGAACGTGACAAAAGAGTGAAAATAAAAAAAAAGTGTTTTTAGAATCATTGAAAACAGAATGGAATCAATTATAAAACTAATACTTTGAGAAACTTTTGCAACGAATGCCAAACATTTGGGCTGGAATAATCTCGGCTAAAGGCGGATATTTTGACGAGGAC